TGAGGCTGCACATGCGAATCTAATGCTAAGGGAACATGAATGTTGGCTTCCAAGTCCGCAAGGAGGTAAGAAAAAGATTCGCCTCTATCATGAATCAGGAAAAGAAAGCAGCCTAGCTCACTGTTGTATGAGTGCCCCAGCGTTCGCTCGCCATGTTAAGAAACATAACTTGTATGATCAAGTCTTTGTTGCATATGTGCGCCCAGTAAAGGAAGGAGAAACGAAGGAAGAAGTCAGGTCCCAAAAGATTGAGAGGATCCTGAAAGAGTTCGCTGATCTGGCTGAAGCCCCAAGCGGTGTGGTGGAAAGACCAATCCGCCACCGCATTGATATCATTCCAGGGAGCGCGCCCCCGAAGGGGCCTATCTATCGTATGTCGCCCAAAGAATTAGATGAACTGCGAACCCAACTTGATGAGTTGTTGAAAAATGGTTGGATAAGACCTAGCTCCTCACCCTATGGTGCGCTTGTGCTCTTTGTGCCTAAAAAGGACGGCGGCGTTCGCATGTATATAGATTATAGGAGGTTAAATGACATAACAGTGAAAAATGCCAAACCATTACCGCGAATAGACGATTTGTTGGATCGCGTGCAAGGATCTCAAAGATTGATCTAAAATCCGGCTACCATCAGATTGAGGTCGAGCCAGAAGACCAACATAAGACTGCCTTCAGGACGAGGTATGGGCATTATGAATTCGTAGTTCTGCCCTTTGGTCTCACAAATGCCCCTGCCACTTTCCAAAGAACAATGAACGAACTATTGCGTGAGTGGCTCGATAAATTTGTTGTGATTTATCTAGACGATATTTTGATTTTCAGCAAAGATGAAGAAGAACATGCTGAGCACCTTCGACTTGTGCTAAATAAGCTAAGGGAAGCAAAACTCAAGATAAACCCAAAGAAGTGTGAATGGGCTAAGCGTCAGGTTCTATACCTAGGACATGTGATTGATGGAGATGGGGTCAAACCGGAAGATGCAAAGATAGCAGCAATCAGTGATTGGCCGAACCCCCGCACCTTGACTGAGTTGCGGTCGTTCCTTAGGTTAGCCAATTACTATCGAAAGTTCGTAAGACACTTTACGATAATAGCTGCTCCCCTTCGCCGATTGCTTAAGAAAGAAGTAATTTGGAAGTAGGATTCAGACTGCACTATGTCTTTCAAGCGTCTGAAGAAGTGTTTGATCAATTATCCGGTTCTGAAAGTAGCCGACCCTTCATTACCTTTTCTGGTCACGACCGACGCTAGTCAATATGGTATAGGTGCTATACTCCAACAAGATGATGGGCATGGGTACAGACCTGTAGAGTTTATGTCTTGCCGCTTACCTAACGAGAAGGTAGCCGCTTCAACGTATGAACGAGAGTTGCACGCTTTGCGTGAGGCTCTCAATCATTGGCGACACTACCTTCTAGGAAGGCATTTTAAAGTATACTCTGACCATGAAACACTTCGCTAGCTCAAAACGCAAGCTCGAATGACACCTAAGTTAACAAGGTGGGCTGCAGAGATTGATATGTTTGACTTTGAGCTGAAGCCAGTCAAGGGTAAGTATAACGTTGTTGCTGATGCACTAAGTCGTAGATCAGACTTTTTCGGTGCTATTGTGACTTATCTAGATGGAGGTACAGATCTACAAGAAAAAATTAGAGATGCGTATCCTTCTGATCCTGTTTATGGAACCATGATTAAGCTAGTGCAAGAAAAGCCAGCAGAGTTTCCCGATCATAAAGTAACTCAGGGTCTATTGTTTGAACGAACTGATGTACATGATAGGTTGTGTATACCCAATAATGAAGAGATCAAGAGTATGATCTTGGGGGAATGCCATGATACAGAAGGTCATTTCGGGTGGAAAAAGACCTATGGGACTTTATTGCGTTCCTACACCTGGCCTCGAATGAAAGCAGACTGTATCGCGTATGTGCAGGGTTGCCAAGTGTGCCAACGAAACAAAAACAACACGCAATCGCCTCTCGGGCTACTTAAGCCTTTGCCTATCCCTACCGGCCCTGGAGACTGTGTCTCTATAGATTTCATGGATACTAAGGTGAAGAGCAGAAATGGGAAAACGCAAGTAATGGTCATAATGGATAAATTCACTAAGTATGCTGTCTTTGTAGCCTTGCCTTCGGAAGCCAAGACTGAATTGGTAATTCGGGAATTCTTTAACCATTGGTTAAAAGACTTTGGACATCCCTTGACTATAGTAAGTGACAGAGATACTAGGTTCACAAGTGAACAATGGCAGCAACTGATGGATGTATATGGTTCTAAGTTGACAATGTCATCAGGTAGGCATCCAGACTAATGGTCAGACTGAGCAGATGAATAAGATATTGCAGCAAACTTTGCGCATGTACATTCATCCCGATCAGATTGACTGGGATGAACATCTGCCTAAAGTTGCCAGTGCCTATAATAACTCTGTACATCTATCTACATGTAAGACTCCTATGGAGTTACATCTGGGATGGCGTCCACGCAGACCCATTGATCGGTTGAACCCGGATCAAGTCCATAAGCTTCCTCTAGGAACTAGTGAATTTGCAGTCCAATATGAAAAGGACATTGAGAAGGTAAAAGAAAACATACTCAAAGCCCAGCATCAGATGATTGAACAAGCAAATAAGCATAGACGCCCGTCTCAATTTGCTGTAGGAGATTTGGTTTGGGTAAAATCTAAAGAGTTTGCTCCTAAAGAGAACATCTCTCAAAAGCTTTTACCCACCTACAGAGGACCTTGGCAGGTTCTAGACATAATTGGAGATGTGGATGGTCCTTCGTATCTCATTGAGATTCCTCCTCATCTACGTACATATCCAGTGTTCCATGCGTCCAAGCTCTTACCTTGTGTAACGAATGAGCTCTTCCCAAGTTGCCGATCAGCGATACCTCCAGGTATGGATGGGAAGTATGACGTAGATAAAATTGTTGCAGAAAGTACTTACCACACAGGACGTAGAGGCAGACCACAACGGCAGTATAAGGTGAGGTTTGCATACCAGGATTCTAGTGAAGATCGCTGGTTTACAAGAGAAGAACTGTTAGATTCTGCACCGCATATTGTGTCTGCATACGAAAGCGCAAAGAGAGGAATTCATATCCGTGATAGGTAAGTGATTCTCATAGGACTTCGAATTTAGGCCAGCGAGAGTAAAAGGGCCTTTACCCGATATGGGCCTCAGGCCTTGTAATAGTAAAGCAGCACGGGCCTTGTAAAAGTAAAGCATTGTGGAAAGGTATCTCGCCAGGGCTCAGAAACGTGAAAGCAGGTCAAAGGTCAAGTTCTCTATCAACAAGCACATCTAAATCTAAGGCAAAGGGCATTGTCAAAAGACCTACCTGTTCACCAGGAGATGTGTATGTCATGTCTGTTCGGGTAAGAGTGTGTCTGTACGTGCAAACAGTGTACCTGTTCGTGCAAAGGAATGTGTCTGTTCTTTTAGAGTTGTGCCTGTCCGAAAGTAAAGTCAATAGGCACAGTCCCAGTTCTGGTCTAAGTCAAGGGGTCAGTCCAGATCCAGACTTTGAAGTCCAAATCTAGGCCGAGAGGCCCCAGCAGCAGTCGAACCTCATTGGGACTATACTGGGACACATGCAATGCAGGGTCTGGGACAAAGGACAGGCTGAATTGAGCCAATGCAGACCCGGCGAGGAGTGGCCAGCACTATAAAGAAAGCTGCCAGCCTCATTCCTCGCCAGATCTCCACTGGCTTGAATGCGTGGAAGTGCTGGTGCACTTGTGCGTTAGTCAGTAGTAGCAGCACTGGAGGTAGAAGATGGGCTGAATGCAGGAAGAAGCCCGTACGCTGGAAGTGATGCAGCCATAGCTGCCCAGCGCGTTAGCATTAGTAGTAGAGGGTTAGTATGTAGCTATGAGTAGTATTCAGAGTAGATCCTCATGAGTAGAGAATGTGTATGCATCGACAGAGGAAGGGACTGAGATATAGAGTGTTCATTCAAGGTTTGGCTATAGGAGACACTTACCTGAGTTGGTTGTGAACTGCGGAGGTGGCGCTGATGAGTTATGACCATATTGATGACTGGGAGACAATCTGCAGGG